CCCTTCCTCCCTGGTGCCCTATTTCTTATATCTGGATGGTACAAGCGGGACGAGCTCGCCACGAGAACAGCTCTCATTTCCTCTGGAATTTTATTCAGCGCTGCGTTCGGATCCCTTTTTGCATCTGGTATACTTGGCAGTATGCAAGGCAAACTTGGTCAAGCTGCATGGAGGCAAGCAAGATAGTCTCTGTCACTCCTTGGAGCTGAATGATCTATAGATGGCTATTTTATATTGAAGGGGGCATCACCATCTTAGTCGCGATTTGCGCGATATTCATACTCCCTGATTTCCCGCACAATACCAGGTGGCTCACTCCAGAGGAAAGAGCTCTTGCCATCTCTCGCCTTGAAGAAGATGGCTTTGGTAAGTTTGGGAAACAAACGACCGTGCAAGGACTGTGGGATGCCGTGTCTGACTGGAAGGTGTGGTGGTTTTCGGTTGCGTTCATGTTCCAGTACATAGCGCAGTGTTTCTTCGCTTACTTCCCAACGCTATGCGCAACACTGGGATATGACACGACTACAACATTGCTACTCTGCGCTCCTCCGTGGGCGTTCGCGGCTATAGCGGCATTTGCTCTTACATGGTAAGTGAACCATTTTTATTGGAAAATCGCATTTCACGGAGATCAGGTACTCTGACAAGAAGCAGAAACGTTACAAATATTATGTTGCCTCCAATGCACTCGGTGCCTTTGCATACATCATATCGATGTTTACAATGAACAAAGCTGCGCGCTATATTTCGATGTAATTAGGGCCACCGCTCATAAGGCATCACTTGTACTCAGAGACACACAGGTTCCTGATGGCTCAACTCATCGCTGGATATCTGGTGCTATGGGGGTGGGCCAACAACACTTTCGCCAGAGAACCTGCGAAGCGAGCTGTTGCTATTGCTTTGATGAACGGAATGGGGCAGATAGGCAATATTGCTGGATCGTCAGTGTCATTGTCATTGATTTCTCGCTCTTGCTGATTATCCACAACCGCACCTCTCTCATAGGTACGCATGGCCGCTGAACTGGGGCCCAACATATCGTTATTCCTATGTCGTCAGCATCGCAGCAATGGGGGTTTCCACAGCCATGTTTGGTGGGATGTATTTATATCTGAAGCATCTGAATGAGCAGATTGAGATAAACGAGCGGAATGAGAAGGATATTAGAGAGCTTCAGGTCCCGATTGGTTTTAGATATTTGGTGTAGTAGATTGTTTCTGGCATCGCTGTTCGACCGAGTTTTTTGATCTCTGTCCGTTGAAGCGCGCGGGGCTCTATGTTAGCCATTACTTTGAAATGCAAAAGCAGATATGGCCATGCTCATGGTGTGCCTTCCTGGTTGTTTTCACTTCCCTAGATGATCCTTTGTCAGGGGACATAAAAGGGGCTGAACGATTCCCATGACAAGTACCGCAATAAGGACACTGTGGATAGTGGTTCTAATGAAAATCACTGGAAAATGCTCTGATGCTGAATATTTCAGAGTAACATCCACTGAAATTGCATGCAGTTAATTTCATTGGAGCGCTGATTCTGAATTTCAGTGTAAAAATCTACTGAATCAGAATTCAGCACCAATGAGTATGTATTTAAATAAGTACACTCCAATTCTACTAAGTAGCATGTAGTTCAGGAGATCGATCCACTGTGTAGCTGTTATCGGACATCAATGCCTCAGCCACCCAGCTGCAAGCCTCTTGTATATATTGGTGTAATTGTCTCTACATACCAAAGGACTTGTGGCTTAGTGGTAAGAATACGGTACAATTGCATGAGGTCTTTTGTTCAATCCCTGCCAATTGCAAATTATCCTGTGTCACAGGTGGGTTGTACTAAGCCGTCTTACTAAGGTGTCTATGTAGTCTGGTTCAATAGTTTTGCCCCACTGTCATTCTAGCATGAATTCAGTGCATCATTTCAGAGTAAAATTTCAGAGTAAAAAATGGCAATTTCAGCACCCTGATTTCAGCACCTAATGCTCTGAGTTTCAGACCATTATCATATGATTTCATCCACTGAATTTCACTGGAACTACTATCCACAGTGAGGACCGGCAACCATGCACCTCGTCCGCAGGCACCTGACCATCACCGCTTATGCTACTACTTAGTAATATCAGTAGATGTGCTACAACATTACTAATTAGAGGGAAAAGTCTACCACACAAGACTTCAGTGATTTCTTCAGCGATTAGCAGTGACTTGTAAGGTATTTTCTTACTGGCTATTACCCAGCTGTACCCAGTGTATAGCTGGGTGGCATAAGCTGGTAATTCCCATTGATTCTCCGCACTGTCTCCCATGACCTACCAACATGCAAGCTTGTCATCTACGACAATGAGCTTGCTTATACAGCTCAAATTCAATCCTTTTTCAAGTGCTTTTTTGCCTCTTTGAATGGGGACATGTATTTTATTTCTCTACCAGCAATATTTATGGGTTTAATGGCCCTATCTAGTGCATACAGGTATGTTCATGCTCTGGGGCTAGCTTACTAAGCTTTCTAATCCTCTCCATCCCACCATCAACAATGGGGAAGCAGCCCACTCTCTGTTTGACATTGCACCATGTGATGATGACGGTCCTACGTAGCTCTGGTCCACATACTTTGTCAGCTGGACTCTCTCATATACACCAGGATTGCCTTGAGGCTGAACACTTGAGAGAACAACAAGCTCATGGTAAGCCCTATGTTACTATGTCCTTGTCCTTGCATTTACTTTCTTTCCCTCATCTGTCCCTCTGGATTGACGCCTTTTGCTTGCCACTGAGGCTGCTATCGAGATCAGAACCATATTTGACACTGATGACTTCCATAATCCCTCACTTGACAATCTCAATTCAATGGCGCACCATTCCAAAGACTATGACAGTGATGTCAGTACTGAGAGCAATAGAAGTGGGGGTAGACCACTCCATTCAACTGAAGAGAAGCTCTTCTCTTCATATGGACTCCTGTGGTTGAACACCAGGCAAGTAATTTTTTAAAGTTGATTTCAGATTATGACCTTTGCCTTCTTACAGCTGTAATTGACACTGCAACAACCAGCGCACATGGGAGGAATGCAATTCGAATATGCATGCAGCCTGGAGTGCTCAGATGCGAGTGCTTGCTGATGCCTATCTTCATTGGAAACATGGCCCTTGTGATGACACAGGTGCAGAGAGTCATCAACCAGTGCACTACTTCCATGTCAGCAAGATTGATGTGTTCAGTACATACTCCAAGTTATTTTCATTATGATCAATAGGTCTTACATTACATAGATTATCATCCAGTGTGCGAGATTGCACAAAATCATGATGAAGCTGCAAACATAGTGCTATTGTGAGTCAGTCTGCTCGGTTGCTCTCTCACAACTCCAACAGTCACAATCACTCTACCATGTCTTGAACTTTACCATCAGCTTTGATGATGACAGTTGTCATTCAGTGTCCAGGCCTTCACCAAAGTGTTATGTGCACTACACAACACATGTCACACCATTTGCAAAGTATATCAGCTCACTGTTTAGTTTAGGTCACATATATCAAAATATTTCATGAACAATTTGTGATCGCTTTTGATGTCTACCTTGCTATCATTCATGAGATTCTGTCATATCCCACAATCCGGACTCACATTCCATAGTATTCCCACGCCTTCCGAGCCTATGTCCGGACCCCATATCTGACTCATTCCCAGATCCCCTTCTGCTGTGTACTCCATGCCTCAGCAGGATCAACTATGCTCTGGATTTACCCCTGAGCTCTAGACCATTGGATCCTCACTGCTAGCCTGATCTGAACAACCCCATCCTGTCCACCCTATGCGCACTCCATCCAGCAAGACATCTGAACTTCACCTCGTCTTGGATTCTGGACTATATCCACCTTCTCATATTCCGGTCCTGTATCCACCTTGTCTTCCAGATCCCCAGATCTCCGGACCTATTCCCACCCTCTGTCCGATATCCTGCACCTATCCCCATTTAGGCATTCTCTGCCTTCCGGCTTTTGGTTACCTCTTGTTCTGTCTTGCTTATTGATCCTTGTATGAGTCCTCATCTCTGAGTTCATTTACTTATGTTCTGACTTACTTACTAATGTGTTTCCACATGCTCATACATAGCCTTGCTCCTTTGCTTACTGATCCCCTCAGATATTGTTCAGTATATAACCCCTATAGATACTCCTGTAGTTCCTTAGTTTGAATATCAACTTAGACTTGCCCAATCCTCTCTCAGACTTTGGTCCACCTAAGTCTGTCCTACCCATCAGGCCTAGGGATTGATTCCCTAGGCCAGAGCTCTGCCTTTCTGGCACTTACCCTCTTTCCAGACTTAGGTCCAATCCCTGTCTCTCCAACTCTACCTTAGGGTAGTCTACCTCTGTTTGTTTCTACATTGGACTTTGTCCGATGTAGCCCCTATTCCTTCCGGACCTCCGGACCTCCTGTCCTTTGGACGTTCTGCCCTCTGTACCTTTGGACATTCTGCCCTCCATACCTTTGGACGTTCCGTCCTCCTAACCCTCAGATGTCCTGTCCTCCTGTCCTCCATCATCCTGCCCTCCTGTCCTCCTGTCCTCCTGTCCTCTGGACCTTTGGACCTCCTATCCTTCCATCCTGTTTCCTGTAGAAGTATTACCTTGTAGTGGGAACTCTCCCAAATGCTTCCTGCATTCCTCCAGAACTCTCCCACGCTCCTCCAGACATTTCCCGCGCTCCTCCGGAAGTCCTCTAGTGCTCTCCAGCAGAGTAGCCAGCCTCTGGAAGTCCTCCAGACTTCATCGGACCATCATCGGACCTCATATGAAATGAAGGGCACATACTCAGGTAAGGGGCACAGCATATGAGCTGAGGCCAAGCCCCTCTGAGTCAGTCTCTCTCTCCTTTGAGCAACATGGTTCTTAACACATTCAAACCTCCTTCTCTGCCAATTTTCGAGATCACCTGTCCCCCCTCAAATATTTAAGTTGGAGGCTTTCAAACCTCCTTCTCTGCCAATTTTTGAGACAATGGCATGCACTGGGAAGACACATGTTGTTAAGAGGGTCCATCCACAGCTCACTACCTCTCAGAAGGTTACTTGTCGTGAAAAGTTTGTATCCATTACTAATGACATCAATGATACACAAGCATCCTACATGGACAAAGTCCAAGGACTTGCAAAGAAACATGGGCAGTACATTTATCATAAAACTATTGTGATATTAGTACTAATTCATTACCAGGTCTGAGCACTGGACATGGCATCAGTTATACCTTGGCAGGAAAATTGTCTGTTGTCAGCATGCTCCAAATGCATGGAACAGGTTTGTTTGTCAGCACTTGAATGACATAAATGAAGGTGTGTTGATTCAGTATGTTCCTTGTTAGTAGAATTAACACAAGTTCTTAGGTCTTTCATGTGGTGACTGCTGGAAGTTGACAGAGTTTGTTGAAGATCACAAGGAGAATCTCAAGCATGATTATTCAAAGCTCACTGCTGCTCAGAAAAATGCGTTTGTTAACCAGGTTATGAAGAAGAGCATTAAAAACCAAAAAATTGTCTGTGACAACCCAAAGGCCATGCAGTGCAATATGCTCACATCCTTTGCTGCAATGGATCAGGAGGTTTGATTTAGTTTGAGTTGCTACACTCATTTGCTAATGTCAGTACTTAGTGGACGGCATTATGTTTGTGACTTGGAATTGAAGGGTTTTACATAGCTGTCCAAGGAGGCATCGAGGATCTTAGTGGACCTAAGCTTTTCTTTTCTGAGAAAGCAGAGAAGTTTGCACGTGCTGTTCTTGACTTGGAGCCACAGCACTTGGCTTTAAAACTTGAAGCTTTTGTTGTGTTGGGGCTTGGTAAGTTTTTATTTCGATTCATTTGAGCCCTCTTTCCAATATTATATTTGATAGATACCAATGTTTCAACCACTCAGCCTCATTCTCTCAACAAGATGATTAGCAAATGCAGGACACATCTTCAAGATGAATTAGGTAGGCTACATTTATTTATTCTCTTATCTGTCTATCAACTAATAACTGTTATACTATCAGACTATATCTTGCAAGAGAACAAGATTACCAACTGCAAGATCACAATGAACTACACTAACTACAAGTGTTCCATTGTTGATCGCTATGGTGTTACATTACAGGGTTGGCCCTCAGCCCTTTTGCCTGTCTGAAATCCCTCACACATAGGTGGATGAGAGCAGGTACGAGCACTGCTCGACGTGCTTGACAATAAGACTTGTACTTGGACAACTCTCACAAAGGACAAGCTTCAGCAAAGGATGACCAGTAATCAAGCGCATCATGCAAATGGTGAGGTGGTGTACAAGCCAAGGAAAAAGCGCACCACTAAGACTGCTGAAAAGAGTACAGTCATCATCAGTAGTGATACAGATGGGTCATCGAGTTCATCCTCTGACTCAGAGGATGAGTAGTAGCCCTTAGTTTCCTTCCAAAAATTTCAACCAATGGGACAAACATGTCCTGTATCTTCATTGTTAAAAGCAATATAAATTTTTACATTACAACATGAAACTATCAATAGTGGTCTCAGTGGCAAGCAAATATGAAGGATTATGGAAGTCTTCAGCATCAAATATGGTTCTGGTGTCATATCCGCATATCCAGATCTCAGATCCGAACCTTATCTCATCTCAGATCTGATCCACATCTTATCTCCAATCCTATCCACCTCTTATCTCCCTCCAACATCTTGTCATCCAATCTGCCCACTTGTCTGGTCCAGTCCACAATTCATCCGAATCCACAACCAGCAGTTGTCTCCTTTCAGTAATCCCCTAACTCTGATATTTCGGTTATCTGTATATCTGTCCTGCTCCCTGATCCATTACCTATGCTTCATCTCCATTTCATTATTTGTGATCTGTTTCTACTTACCAATAGACCATCCATATGCTTCATACATAGCCTCAGACTCTGCTGATTGATCATTCTGTTAGATACCTATAGTATATAACCTCCTGTAACTCTCTGTAGTACCTCAGTTCAAATATCATCTTAGTTCTACTCATTCCTGTCCTCTGGACTTGAGTATCTCTACTCTCATCACCCTCCAAGACTTAGGATTGATTCCTATAGTCTATCCACATCCGCCTCTGTCTCCAACAGTCCATTACCATGAGCTTCTAGTCTGGACTTGTCCAGATTAGCCCTACGATACTTATCCCTCATCCAGAAGTCATCTGGATCTGCTATGCTACTCATCTGACCTTCCAGATGCATTAGTCTTGCCTTCCTGAAATAAGGGGCAATACTTGGGTAAGGGGCACAGCGCACAAGCTGAGGCCGAAGCCCTTCGGATCCAGTTATCCCTTGAGTACGACCTTAACATCCGGTCTTGATAGTGGCCTCAGTGGAAAGCAAAAGGCATTTATCTAGAGGGACAGATGAGGGAAAGAAAGTAAATGCAAGGACAAGGACATAGTAACATAGGGCTTACCACAAGCTTGTTGTTCTCTCAAGCATTTGGCCTCAAGGCGATCCCAGCATATATGAGAGTCCAGCTGACAAAGTATGTGGACCAGAGCTATGTAGGACAGTGAAGGGACAGACAAGGGAAAGAAAGTAAATGCAAGGACAAGGACATAGTAACATAGGGCTTACCATGAGCTTGTTGTTCTCTCAAGTGTTCAGCCTCAAGGCAATCCTGGTGTATATGAGAGAGTCCAGCTGACAAAGTATGTGGACCAGAGCTACGTAGGACCGTCATCATCACATGGTGCAATGTCAAACAGAGAGTGGGCTGCTTCCCCATTGTTGATGGTGGGATGGAGAGGATTAGAAAGCTTAGTAAGCTAGCCCCAGAGCATGAACATACCTGTATGCACTAGATAGGGCCATTAAACCCATAAATATTGCTGGTAGAGAAATAAAATACATGTCCCCATTCAAAGAAGCAAAAAAGTACTTGAAAAAGGATTGAATTTGAGCTGTATAAGCAAGCTCATCGTCATAGACAACGAGCTCGCATGTTGGTAGGTCATGGGAGACAGTGTGGAGAATCAACAGGAATTACTGGCTTATGCCACCCAGCTATACACCAGGTACAGCTGGGTAATAGCTGGTAAGAAAATACCTTACAAGTCACTGCTAATCGCTGAAGAAATCGCTGAAGTCTTGTGTGGTAGACTTTTCCCTCTAATTAGTAATGTTGTAGCACATCTACTGATATTACTAAGTAGTAGCATAAGCGGTGACGGTCAGGTGCTGCAGGAGTAACAATACACGGAAAGTTCTAATATGCATTTCCCCTGACCAATATGTTAAATATTACCGACTTGGAGGAGCTTCAAGCAATTGGAGGTGTTCAACCCTGGGCAAACCCTGGTCCATGTTTGGTCAATGTCAATTAATTCTGGTTGCATCATTGACAGAGTGGCAGGTTGCAAGGACGCCATCTGTTTCGCTGGGCACAAGGGCTTGCCTTGGGGGATCCCTTTTCTAAGCTTACTGCGGCATGTTCACAAGCATGAGCATAAGGACTCCGTGAGAAAGGCCCAACTTGAAGGTGGCAACATGACATGAATAAGAATATATTATATCTCTAGAATAGAAGTCTCAGACGATAAGGAGAGCTGCGTCGAGGGAAATCCAGTAAGTCACATCAGCAGGAGCATGTAGCGACTGCCAGTCGAAACGTGTCGAAACCACACATGTAATGGCAGGATAAGTTACCCACCTATCTTCGAGCTCAGTATATTTAACACCACCGACCATAGTTGGCATACACTGAAACTAAATGTGAAGTAGAAACTCGGAATTCCAATGGCAAAAGTCCCGTTGCGAGTCCACTAGTCTGCAATGCTTATCTACACCAGACCAAATCATCATACCACTTTGCTTGTAGAATCCACTCCACTATCGGCAGGCCTGCGAGCTAATTGAGACAGGTTCAAACAAAAGTATTATTTACTTACGGTTTGCCCACAAAATTGAAAACGTAGAGCGTAAGGATTCCGTTAATAAGGAAGGCCGAACAACCCAGGGCGGTTATGACTTGGACAGGGACATTTCCAGAGCAGAAGCAGGCGATGAAGAGAGCTGCACCAAAGAAAATATCATACATCATCAACAGGAGCACTTCTGCTAAACTCACTCACTTACACGCAAACAAAAAGCAGACGGCGACTGCCAGACAAATCGAGGGGTATGCCAACCACAACAGCAAGCAGATAATTTGGTGTCGTGGCATGACCTGCAGCATGCGTCAAACCGTGCAACACCCCAAACAAGCAGAACTCACTTTGAGATATTTCATGTCTTTGTGAGTGGTGCTAGTTTCGTAGATGACCACGACCGCAGCTCCTGATATTACACTGAGCAATGCAGCACTAAATGCAATGATGGCGAAGACATAGGAGGCTGGAGTGTCAAAAGCCATCAAGCTGGTTACAGGAGGGCTCGACACCAGGAGCAAAGCGGCAGTTGCGAGTACCAGCCCGGCCTAAATTCAATTGTTTAATGTTGGTCATAAAGATCAGATCGTATCAAACACACAGTGATGTTTGAGTTCTGGAAACGACTGATCATCACTGAGATATGCTCCTTCCACTCTTCATTTCCTGTGTTTTCCCAGTGATCAAGAGACGTCCGAGAGACTGCAACAACACACAAGACTTCGAACGCTGACTTCAGAATAGGATGAGTGGGAGTCCAGAATTTTCTCGGGACTTGAGGGCCCGAGTTAATAGAAGTATTGCTAGACATCCGAGTCGATGGTGGAACTCGTAACGTGAGTGTTGTGGGGTTGAGTTGTTACTGAATGGAACTGACATACAGGGCGAGTCTTATACTTGCGCGTGTTCGTGGTTCCAGATTCGGTAGCAATGCAGCAGGAATGCATCGGGAGACCAATCTGCAAGATCAGCGACCATGCTGGGTACACGGCAGTTTACATGAGCGCTTGGGCGTGCATAAAATCGAATACTAGTCACATTAATGTTCCAAAATCATTTCAGCGGGAATTTCTCGCAGTTGCATTACTTTACATGTGGACCCTGAGCATCTATTCTCCATGGCGCTTTACTGCATGAAGAGTCCGCATGGGCATTCACGAGGTGGTGAGATGTTTCCGTGTATTAAGTGTGATAAGGAGACATGACAGGTTCTTAGCGAAAGTTCCGCTGACCGATATGTACAACCCGAAGCGTCCAAACCCTGAGTGGTCTATCATGATAGCAATCATGATACCCAGTCATCAGCAGCACTGTCAAAGCCGAAGGCATGCAACACCTATACTAGCATGACGTCTATCAGCAATCTGTGCGGGGGAGGTTTTTTGTATCATCGACTGGCCTGCAAGGCATATTTAGACGGATCCAACAAGAGTGTCACTGGCTTACTTTGTGCCCACGACGTAGTATACGTAGATCGTAAGGACTCCGTTTGAAAGGAAGGCCACACAACCCATGATAGTTATGATGTTGACAACAATATTGTCAGACCAGAAGCAGGCAATAAAGATAGCTGCACCAAAGGAAACACCATACTCATAAGTAGATCTAATCACTGGCACATCTAGTGCATCACTTACACAGAAACAAACAGAAAGTAGCGACTGACAGACAGATTGAGGGGTATGCCAACCATAGCAGCAGCGCGATGATTTGGTGTCGTGGCATGTGCTGTGCCGTGTGTCAAATCATGAGCCAGCCCAGACAAACGGACTCACTTTGAGGGACTCCATGTCTTTATTACTGGTACTAGTCTCATAGATAACAAGCACAGCGGCTCCGGATATCACGCTGAGCAATGCAGCACTAAATGAAATCATGGCGAAGAGGTACGAGATTGAAGAGTTATAAGCCATCAAATGCTCGATAGGAGGCACAGACGACAGGAATAGAGTAGTAGTTGCGAGTACGAGCCCGGCCTAAAGCCCAGTCGTTGAGCGCTAGCCATAAAGATCAGATCAGATCAAACATACGGTGATGTTTGAGTTCTGGAAGCGATTGACCATCACTGAGACATGCTCCTTCCATTCTTTGTTCTTTGTATCGTTCCAATGGTCGAGAGACTTCTGGGAGACTGCAATAATGCACAAGATTTTGAACGCCAACCTCAAGATAGGATGATTGGGAGCTCGACAGTTTTCGGGGACTTCAGGGGTGGGGTTTACAGACATGATGAGGCGATTAATTTCTGGGCGCTCGAA